TTATCATTTACTCAGTACATCGTTCTAGAATGGCGAGAGGATTGCTGAGCGGCCAAGCAGAAGAACGGTTGTGTGCATTCATTCTGGCCCCTGACAGCTACTAATTCTCACAATTTTCCTGCTCAAAGCACTACTCAGATCTCAACAATTCTGAGCATTCCCACCAGCAAAGAAAAAAGAAATTGCGTATTCAGTGAGGGAAGCCCCAAGGGGATTTAGAATGTTCTCAACAGGAACTTGATTTGATTACGCTTTAAGACACTTTAGAATCCACATATAAGGATTTTGGGATTTGGAGAACTTGTATGTCTTCCTCAGGGATAAATGAACTATCCTGACAAATTCTATAAACAAAAGTAATGCCATTACTTTGAGGTACATTCTAAACTCAAAGGTATTCTTCCATGAGAAACTTTTAGTAAAAATAAAAGGAGTTAATGATCAGTTCTGAGCAAAGTTTGAAGATGTGAAGACTTGATTTGAACTCTTGACAAAGTTGTGAGGTAGGCAGGGCCAGTACCACACCCATTTTGTGCAGGAGGAAAATGAGGCTGAGACAGCTTAAGGCTGGGCCTGCTCCTGTGCTGGTGGCAAAGTCAGCCTATTTTTGTGGGCTTCCTCAACACATGGCCACATGGGTACGCTCAGAAGAGCACAACTAGCTTAGCACTCTGGCAGCTGCCATCTTGAATTCTTCACACTTCTGAGCTGGGGCCCCACAATTTCTGCAAGTGGTCCTGCTCATACTCAGTGGACAGCCCTTCCATGCCGCCTCCCAGATACTAGGAAAGCCTGCCAACATCGTGGTGCCTGGACCTCCCGGGCTGTCTGCCTTTGCTCTTGGCGCCTGCAGCCTTACCATAGACTGCTGGTTTCCAGACCCTCTAGTCCCTCGCAGCAGCACCAGCGCCTCCCACTGTGTGCTGCTTTACGTCCTGCTGAATAAATTAGTACCCAACTCTCAATTCATCAAAGTTAAAACTCTCTAAAGTGAGTTTAATTAAAACAAGAGGATCTTGGGTTTTCTCAAATTGGTTAGTCATCAAACCTACAAAGAATATTGGATTTCTCTTTGCTCTTTGACTGGGTCTCTATCTTTGTCCAGTTCCTTCCTCCCTCTGATGGTTTCTAAGTCAGAATGGGAGAAGGGAGGCAAGGAGAAAGAGAAGAGAAAGAAAGAAGAAAACTTACTCCTTGCTAACATCCCAACCTCTATAAATGTCATAATCTTAAAGACCTAAACATGGCACCACCAAGGTCATTTCTGGCCAGTTCTCAGGGGCTTTGAGCATCAACTTAGCCCTCCCTGGTACTCTGTGGCAGGGCTGCATCCCTTCAGGGTCAGCTAGGAAGCTCTGCAACCTGCACAGGCTGCAGTGGTACAAGGGAAGGCGCCAACTCTCTCCCTGAATCTCCTTCTTCCCGGCTGCTTCCACTGTTGTAGTGGTCCCCAAACCCTGCTCCTTCCTTAATATTCAAGCAGCCCCTCATGTCACTCCATAATTGACTTCAGATGGGTTCTGCTTCCCAAATATAACTCCCCCCACCCTCTGTCCTCTCCAGAGGTCCATGAAAAGTATGTAGCCACTGTGTACGTAGCAACAGCAAGGAAAACCCCACAAATCAGACCAAACTTACAGATTTTTTATTATGCATTTAGCAGTATTTTCTGAGTGTGCACACGATGAATGAATTTCTCTCCGAGATACCATCTCACCACTGTGCCAAACAGTGCATTTGCATCTAAAAATGCAATTCAAGCTCTAAGGACTATGACTTTGGGTTCAGATACAATTTAAAATCTGTATCTTTCCTACATATATATGTATAGTGACTTTACCTTTAACAGATGCCATAAAGGAGTTGAAGTAGACAATAGTTCTCCAATAAATAATCGCTTCCCTAAACTGTACAAAACCCTGCCGGCAAACCAGTCACTTTCATCTCTTCATGATAGATTCACTTTTATACCTGTAATAACTTATGACATGCTCCTTCCGGCATTAACATCTGCTCAAGGCCAATGTTCTGCCACACACCATCTAAAGTTTTTCAGTACAGTGCCCTTGGCAGGCTCTCATGGCTCTGAGGCCAGGTGGGGTGGCCTCTCCCCCTGGGACCCTGTGTAGACAGCTTTACACGGCCAAGTCACAGTGAGCGCAGTACACAGAAGGAGCACAGCTGAAAGAAATTTTGAACCATCAGGAGTTACAATTCCCAGTTGATGCCAATTATATAGATAAATATGAATTTACATAATTTACAAAGAGTTTGTGTTTGCAGCTCATTTGCAGCTCTCCCCAAAGATCCACGTTTATTCATGAAAGCAAATATTCAACCTAATAGCCTTGAGCTGCGGCTGTCTTTACAGCCGGCTTCCTGCAAACAAGACTTAGGAGCTCTCCTGCGTGTGGGCCTGGAATCCACAAGGGACCCAAGAGGCCGTCCATGGGACACAAACAGGGCTACATTGCATGTGCCGGTGTTCGCACCCACAAACATCTTCTCTTCTTGTCACAAACATCAAGGCTTCTTGTTTCTTTCTCTCCTTTTTTCAGTGGGTCCCAAGCGCAGCTGAAAATTTCTGTTTAAATCCTGTAAGCTCTTGACTCGTAAACTACGAGCCCAGTCTCAAGCTGAAGCCTCTCAGCCTCACTAAGAACACCATGCAGTCTTTGGAAGGCTCCTCCTAAGACTGCGCAGGCACTGTGCATCTGGTACAGATGGACACGTGTTTACTTTTGCAAAGAGCCAGCTTGGAGTCCACTTACTCTCTCCAAGAGGAGTCATGTCAAAAGCCACTAAGTGGCTTTCCGACTTGCCATACCTCTCCAAAAACAATTTCCTGCGTGAAACTGGAGCTGCAGGCGTCTGGCCCCGGGGGCACATCTGGGATCATTTTACCCATTTGGGAAACTGGGGTCATTTGGATTTGAGCATTCTTGGAGTGGGGGGGTAGTGTTAAGTGGGGCTCTTTGGGTGGGTTTTCTGCCCCAGGCAAATTCACTGTGCCTAAGAGGTGGAAATTTGAACTGTGTATGAACAATGGCTCCTTCCTGGGATGGTCAGTGGGCAGGCAGAGAGAGTGAGAGTGAAGTCCACTGCAGGGAGCAAGCATAGTGGTAGCCACTTAAGGCCTACGTGCTTTGTCAGTCCTCGACTTCAACCTGTCTTGAGCAAAGGGGGCAAAAGAAAAGAGGATTGTTACAATAGTGACTTTTGCAGATTGAGAAAGGTGACTTTTCCCGCCACACTTCCACTGTTCCCTGATTTGAATGTGCTCTTGCCAGTGTTTCTCAGCAATTTCAGAGCTGCCAGCAAAGTGGGAAGGAGTAAGAAGAGTGGTATCAGCAGGTGCAGCTGAAAGGAGGCCTCCCACAGCCTGGCTCCAACTTTGACAATCACAAACGAAGGACGGTAGAAGCTGCCACAATGAATGTGACTCTGGACATTACGAACACAAGTCTTGCAGGAAAACAGGGACTATGGCATCATAAAAGACTTTTCCTTCCAAGAAAAGTATCTTACCCTTGAAAGAATATATCTCAATAAGGAGCTTTCCATGAATCATGAGGTCCTAGACGGCCTCCTTCCTATGCCCCAGTATGTCACCTGCACCACCAATCTCAATCTCATCTTCGGAACATGTGACAAAACAGTAACGATAAGAGTAGCAAAATCATCTGTGTGCTTTTTCTGATCCCTTGCTGGCTGTTCTTTGAACATATCCAGGACCTTTGCACTTCCTGGTCTCTCTGACCTCACTCACTCCCTTGCTTCTTCAAGTCACCTGGCCAGTGAGCCGGCTTCTGGCTGTCCAATCACAAATCGCAGCCCTACCCCCAGCCATCCCTTCCTCCTCCTCTATTGACCTGCTCTCCTTTGCAAGCAAACACATTGTATGTGTTATTCGGGGTTGCTTCTGCCACCATTTATGCTGCTTGAAGACCTTGTTCCCTGCTGTGTCCCCAACATCTAGAGCACTGCCCGTACCTAGCAGATGCTCAGTAAATCTCTGCTGAGTGAATTCACTCTCTCTGCTAAAAGAGTGAATAAATGATGCAGAGGATGAATGGTTTTAATCACATCTAGCCCTCACTGAGAGAAGTCTCATGTTAGGACGAGAAAAAGAAAAATAGGAAAAAAGAATGAAGAGGCCAAGGGGGGACCACATGGGGTCTGACTCCTGCTCTCCTGGGACCTGCCTGCTGCCTTGGCCCTCCTCCCCACTCTCCATTTTTATTATGCATGCTGACAGATCCTCCTCTGGAACACTGGAAGTGATCTGCCACCAATTTGGAAAGCCTCCTATATACTGAGCTTGGCTTAATCTTCCCTTGATCAGTCTCTGTAGGACCTCAAGCCACCTCCAGGCTATTAATTATGAACATAAATTACTCTCCCATTGCAGTTGTGCAGGTGAGTCGTTATTAATGATTTCTGATTGATAGAATGACAAATAAACCAAGTTTGGCTGCAGGAAACCCCCAGGATCTCTCATACAAAGAGATGAGCAGTTAAAAAAAAAATAACATGAACTGGAGACCCAGGGGGACCTGCTGCCAAGCAGAGATTTTACTTCTGCCAGAACCAGCAGCTGAAAAGAAGAAATTATTTTTTGTGAGGAATGGGGGGGTCATATGGCCACAGAAACAGAAGCAAACATGGGTCCGAGCAGACCAGCATTCAGGAGCTCTGAGAAGCGGCAGTCAACTGGCTTTGTCATGCCTACTGAGACCCAGGATGGACTTCCCTGCCCCAGAACTAAGAAGGATGCAAGGGTCAGCCTCTAAGACACACAGCAGACTGGCCAGCATCAGGGAAGTGACAGTGACTGCCCGAAGTTTCAAAATGCCTGCTCTGCCCCCAAAGCCAAATGACCAAAAGCCCTGTCACTATGGGTGCAGTTGTCCATGAACTCTGGGGTCCCACTAGCCACTCTCTGAGACCAGACACCACCCCTCACACCCGTTGCCCCCTGAAGGAATGTACCCACATCTTCACCTTGGACGAAGGCCTCTGCGGGCCCCAGCGGCCTCCCCCTTTTCTTCTTTGCCTGGCTTGTCTGCTCTCCTCAAATCACTGTGGGGAAAGAGCCAGTTTGAATGAATCAGCCTGAGTTTCCATGTGGCTGGTTTTTCGGTGTCAAATTATGACTTCCTCTTCCTCCCAACAAGCACATTAGCACACTCTCCAAGGACCACATCCCAGGCACCATTCCTGAGGGCTGAGTGCTCAGGTAGATGTCTACCAAAGTGCAACGTACACTCCTCACTTACTCATCGGATGCTCAAGAGAAAATGCAATTATACTGTGTTTTCCAGACAGCAGACCCTGACACCGGGCGACTGTGGCGCCTGCCTCCCTTGGGACTTGCCCTGTTCAGACAGTGGGTGAGAGACTCATCCTCAGCTCAAGCTCTAAGGAGGCCGGTGGGGGACTGCTCAGCTTGGCTGAGTTGATAAGTCTTGGCCCTAAGGGAAGGGGAAAGGTAAAGACCACTAACAGGACACCTGCCTCATGAACAGGGCTGAAACAGTCACCCCAGGCCAGATCCAGGGCTGTGCCCTCACTCTATAAGAACGGCCAGAGCAGAACCCAGGGTCTCAAACTTGGGGGCTTCCTGAAAAAACAAAATGAAAGAAAAAAAAAAAAAACTAGTCACCCAGGTGCATGGATCCTTCATGTCCCACTAGGAAAATGGGGTAGCAAGACCTGGAAGGTCCCGTGTGCTGTTGTGAAGAAGCTAAAAGTACACATTTACAGGAGGTTGGTTCTTTCCTCTTTAAGTGTGGGAAGCTTTTTCAGATCTGTGCACAGTGCTGCTCAAGCGAGAACAGATGTGTCTGGAACACAAACAAGGCTGTGGGCATGATGTGGTCTCTATCCGGAAAGGCAACAAGGACTGGAGATGCCACCCCAACTGCTGCCCTAGAGCCAAAAATCCACAGCCTCTGGGCTCAGTACGCCCTTCCCTTGTCCCCACAATCTGGTTGAGCCCTCTGCAGCCACTTCAAGAAGACTCTGGCTTGGCCTTGCCCCACTACAACTTGTAACTGGAAATGAGAGGGACCAAAAGGGTGTCATACCTGCTGACATCCAAGGTTTGCATGCAGAAGCGTACGCAGGCCTTGTCATCTGTCCCCACACAAGCACAGCGCAAGGGTGTCTGCGACAAGGGCTGTGAGCTCCCCAGAAATGGCCCTGAGGACCTCTTGCCCCGGAAGCTTCCTCTATAGTTGGACAGTCCATATGGCACAGTCTGCCTGCAAAGCACAGAGTGAGATCAGGGGAGTGTGCACGGTGTCCCACTCGGGGTCATCCAGTTGTGGAGCTCAGTTCTCCCCGCCCCGCCTCCCGCCAGAGAGTGGAACATGAACCACTACCTGCTGAGTGGGAAACATCTGCTCCCTGGTCCCCAGAAAGTGAGGTGTGGTGGAGGACCAGAAAGGAGGTGGACTGTCCCAGCATTCAGGCCTCCCAGGGAGCCATGCAGAGCTGGCCCAGGCACACGCACTTGAGAGAGCAACACACGCAAGTGTGCAAGGTGCCCATGGGCCCCAGGTTCTGAGCTGCTCCAGTGCAGGGCAGGGTTTCAACCTTTTCCAGATCAATCAATCAGTGAAGGTGGTTCATCCAGGGCAGGCTCTGCTCCCGGCCTTTGAGAGCTCGGCCTGAGCCTCTAGCTCCCCCTCGGAAGTAAGAAATGACTAAGAACAACGGAAGTACTCTCCCTGGAGGTTGTGTGCCTGTGCTCAAAGCTCCTGACAAGGATGTCTAAGTTACCCCACATCCTGGTTCCCATTTGCATCCTGGCATCAACAACCGTAAGACCCTCCATACATATGAGGCCCCACCCAACCTGGCTGCCAAGGCCAACCCTGGCAACTCTACTACTAACTGGGGTTCCTCACCTCCAAACAGTTGCCCTCTGCCTTAATGAGGCTACAGTAGATGAAATTATGGTCATTATTGGTGCACCCTGGCCTCCTGACACCACTTCCTCAAAGAGGTACCGACACCGCCTTGGCAGGACAGCTGAGGATGGAGCTGGTCTTGGGAAAGTCTTATTATGAAGCAAAAGAGTTTGAAACTGTTGACACTTTGTTTATGGTCAGCATGACTGGGGGTGTTGTTTGGGGCAATGAATGTTAAAATCTGGTTTATAAGCTAATGTACTTCCAAGCAGTCACGCTCCTCCTGTTGAGAGGAGAAGAGCTAAAACCACATGTTTCATTCAATAATTTGGGGGACAGATTATAAATAACTCAAAGAAACTTATGTGGCCAAAGCCAGTTTTCCAGTAAGTCTTGGTTTTCTCACTCATCCTGAGATTTAGGCACCTTGGTTTCTATGAGTTCCATGGAGCATCGCCAATTATCCATCTCAAAGGGTGGCCTCACATCCTCTCTGTGTCTTCAAAATAAAAATCAAATTGAATTTCTTTTCTTTAGAAACACATGCCATGGAGCCTTTATGGTGTGGTGAGAGGAAGTTGGGTAGGAGCACCCCACAGGCGAGATGCTCAGAACAGAGACCTCCCTTCCCCACTGGGCTGAAAAGTATACCCGGCCCTATTCTTCTCTTGTTCTCACCCCAACTCCTTCCCACCAAGTGCTCTAAGAAACAGTAGACATGATTCCTTTTGACTAAGGTTGGTCTAGCTGCTGAGCAAAACAAGGAAGAGAGCACGGCCCAGAACTCTTTGAAGCTGGACCTTTCCTCTAACCCCGTTTTCCAAAAGAACAGGAGATGGGGGAGAGGAGAAAAACAACGTGGCCGTTGTTTTGAGTCCAGATTTGGCTAAAGGTATATTTTTCCAGTAATAGGATGACATTAAATCCAGCCCCCCATTTCTTGGTGAAAATTACACACAAGGAACAACAACACTTCCATTTTTCTATCAACAGCAAGACCTGCAATTTTGCCATTGCTGACAACTGAATATGCATTTGCCGTGTTGAGCCACTCAACTGAAGCAAAATGCTCTCAAATGTTTTAAGCAAGGAAACAAGGTGACATGGTATTTGTTAATAGAGACATTAGCACTTCCCCAGCAGCCCAGAGCAAATTGCCTGCATGTAATATCAGAGGCTATTTACAAAGAACCCCAACCCTCTCCCCAGGAGCTGGAAGACTTTCAGGAGATGGTCAGGCCTCCCTTGGCAGGGCCTACCCTAACTAATATGAGCAGGGTTTGAAATAAGAGTTCGAAAAGGATGCCCTACTTTTGCAGAACTAAAAATTAAAAGATTTTAGGCCAATTTGGTAAGATCTTAAATGAAAGAGCTCTATTCCCAATCTTGGCAAATGTGACTTCAAAATACCTTGGAAGTTCAGCCTTGAAAAATAGCATCTGGGAATTCCTTGGAGTTCCACGTCAGCTTGCAGCAGCTCAAGGAGATTCGGAACCTTCTCTTCCTTTCTGCCCCATCTCACACCAAGGAGCCTTATTTGCTTCCAAGTAGATGTCCCAGGTTGCATTCCCAACTCCATCCACCCTTCACTCTGCAAACCTCTGCCCCTTGGCCTCCCTGCAAGTCAAGGGATATGTGCCTGAGCCCTATTCTGTCCTTAAGTGTCAGACCTTAGAAGATACTTATACAGACCCTGAAAGTGGTAGGGACATTTAGTCAGAGGACTCTGGGACTTTGAATATCAAAAGTGTACTTAGCTTCTAGTACTATAGACTCCTTGCAATGGGAGATGCATGGCCAAAGGATGGTCATTGGTGGCCCTTTAACTCACAGAGCAAGGTCAGGGTGTTTCTTACCCAGGTCTGAGAGTTGAATACCAGATCTTCAAGGGCAAAAGGCAGGTCTTTTGTACCAGCCATGGACATAGCACAAGGCAGAGCAAATAAGCAGTATTGATTAGGCAGCTGCTAGCTAACTGTGAGATAACTCTAGTCTGGAAATACTGGGTTCTTTCCAGGGGCTCAATGACCACAAAAATCATTACAAAGAATCTCCAACATCTGTTAAACATCCATTCTATACTTCACATTATTTTAAGTGGTTACATGAAAAGGGCATGTGTCTGTGCCTCCAGGAATTCACATGAAACTGGAGTGTGAAAACAGGTAAAAGAAAAATGTCAACCCAGTGTGTACAGGTACATAAGGTGCATAGAGTGCAGAGAGATTATCTGGCAATTCCATTATTACATTGTAAAGCACTTACATGAGGGTCACTCCACCCTCTCAACAATTTCCTGATTGACAAAGGTATTGTTAGACAAATGGAATGAGATGTTGCATGGGAAATACTTAGCAAAGATCAGCAGTGAGTAACAGCTAGCTACTTTCCTTATTTATTTGGTCTGGGAGTTGTAAGTTTCACCAGGCAGAAAAGTCTCCCATTACCAGGCCTGTGTTTGCAATGTATGACTAAGCAATATGGAAGGGTAATAAGGAACCAGAAGGCCACGTGACACAGCAATGCCATTCCCTGCTTTTGGCAGGTCCATCATTCACCACTGCTTGCCTAGTATGTGGTTGGATTTCATTTGTGTTGCTGTCCTGTGTCATTGTTTCCTGAATGGGGAAAAAGAGAGACCTAATAGTGGGACGATGAAAATGAAGTTAAATCACCTGAGAACATTGGACCAGCACACTCTACCCAACTATGTCAGCCTACTATTCAACAGTAGGGTTTAGAGAATTCAGGTCTTTACAGAAGCAGGCAGTCCTTCCATCTGTTTCACTTGTAACACACCAGAGAAGCAGACGATAAGAAAACAACACAGTCTCCATTATACCTACATATGCAAAGTCTAGTGCTGTGTGTGTTTGTGTAATAATTCTCTCAACTTATGTACTGAGAACTTCATTATTTGATTGGTGATGGTGATGCCAGAGTCTTATTTATCACAGTGTTCCTTATTTGTCAGGTTTTCCCAAATGTCATATATAAATGTTGTTGAATATTAAACTCCCAAATCACCCATATTCATTCTTCATCTGCAGCACCACACTGAAAGCACTTCATTTGTCTCTACAAGAAATTTTTAAATAAGCAAAATGACTTTTAAAAAAAATACTGTTTTTAAAGTCCTATGTTGCCTTTTCCTAGAGGAATTAACAATATCCATCTTTCTGATCAGGAAATTGGCTTCTGTGCCTGAATTTAAAGGACAGGCATAGACAGTCCAAAGGCCAGCTGGGGAACAACCGACAGGTTCCACCTACCAAATTCTAAATTTTCAGGAAACTGTATCAAACTATCATTCCTTCTGAAAAACCCTGCTTTCATTTCCCCCACTCAGTGTGTTTAACTCAATGTGTTTGCTGAGAGTTTCGATGTGCAGACACTGGAGAAGAGTCTGGGAGAGCATCATGAACCAGACAGACAACAGGCTCTATGCACACAAAGTTCTAATTTCATACAGAGGTTGGCAAGTTGCTATTTTGTCAACTTCTTCCCATCAACGATGTGTTGTTAAATCTGGAAATTTCACAAAGTGTCCCAATTTCAGGCTTCTCTTGAATAACTAGAAGTTGTGCGGGTACCAGTCCCATTTTCCAACATGGCAGCCATCACCTGAAGCTGACTACACACAAGCACTCCATTTTGCCTTAGTCCCCACAACTTCCAATGTTTTTACACCTGTCCTCCACTCATTTCTGTCACATGTCTGGTCATCATGGAGCTCTGAGTTAATAACTCCCAGGTTAGTGGCTTATCCCATAAAGCAAAGCCAGCCAGGTGACGGGACACATTGACAAAATTAGTACCTGATACTATCCTTCTCTTTATAATTATGGCTGTTGTTTCAGTCTTTAATGACTGCCTCCCCAACAAGTAGGGTAAGTTCACCTCACATTCAGAATGCATGTCAAGTTGATGACCTTCTTCCTGTATGTCACATTTTCCCTTCTAAAATGGAAAAGTAAATGCAATAGGTGATATAGCATGCAGAGGCAGGGCTCTGGGGACCATGCTAGTGGAGAGTTAGAGAAGCAAATGCTTCCCGTTAGCAGACAGTCAGGAGGCAGCCCCAGCTGCAAGCCACCAGCCATTACTGGCTTCTTCTCCCTCCATTTCCCAGAGAAAAAGCTTGGAGACCCTAACATACTTTTAGCTCAATTTCAGGTTTTATTAAATTCCTTCCGTAGAAGGCACCGCTCACCAATTGTCCCAAACGTAACCCTTTGGGCAAAGGAGGCAAGTATGACAGTGTCATGCTATCTCGGAAACATTAACAAGTTAGACGTATGTTCTAATGAGTAAGACGGGATGCAAGAACTATAGGAAGTGGTGGAATA